TTCTCAACAACAATAAAACCAAATTCAATAAACTTTTTTTTATTTTAATTCTATATATTTGTAGCATTAAAATAAAACAATATTTATTGAATTTAATCAAGTAGTTATTAAGGAACCTTTGCTAAAAGTTTTAAAAAATCTTTAGTTTGACTAGTATATCCTGTGATTATCCAATGATCATCGATGATCAGAAAATTTCGTAAGGTGCCAGGCTTTAAACAACCCCCTTATTTGGGGAACATTGTTATGACCTGGGGAGAGACTTTGTATCGTGTAGCCAATTTAGCTTAGGGCCATAAGCATTAAAAAGATAACTAAGTATTTTATTTAATGTGTTATTTACAGACAATATATACAAGACCAGTATTTATTTATTTATTCATTATTGTCTATCTTCCTCTTCTTTCGTCTAAAGCCACCTTTTATATTCTCATTCCATACCTTAACTCTTGATATAAGAATGAAGCAATCCCAAATTATTTACAAAATATGAAGTAATAGGCATAAGATAAAATGTAATAATATATAGCTAACGGTTATATAATGTAAAAGGATAATAAATATGAACAAAATAATATGTAATCAATGCTGGCAGTTTGATTGACAAATGTAGTCACAAAAATGTAATGATTTTACTACGGCAAAATGAAGTAATTTATTCATTGATCAAAATTTACAAAAATTTACATAACATCTTCTCCTGGTAAAGTATGAGCTCCGGCAAAAGTCTCTATTAGTGTCATTCTTTTTTTTTTTTTTTTTTTTTTTTTTTTACACGTTTGCTAATTTTTGCCACATGCCCTTACCCGCATGCAACCATTGTGTACGACCCATTACGATCCAAATGTTAAGTCATGTGATCATTCAATCACACTTATTTTTAGTTTAAGTTACTACCTTTAATGTAACTTTTTTTTTATATATTCATTTAATTTTTAGATTTTTCTCCAGGATCAAAAATGTGTCATGTTAATTTCAAGAACATTGAGATACAATAGTAGGCTATTTTAGTGAGCTAGGGCCTATGCAAATCCTGAAAAAATTTCTCCACAATACAAGCGATGGGAGTACTTTTCACTCCATTCATAAAGAAGTTTCTTTTTTTTCTATTCTTATCCAAGTTTTTACCATTTTGGTAACACCATTTGGGACTACATTGATTCTTTGCATTGGCATTGTTAGATTTTTTAACAATCTCATTATCGGATATTTCACTTGTGCATTTGATTCTTTTGGCCAGCTTATTACTTGACAAAGGTGAGTCTTCATTTTCTTTATTGCTTGTTTGTAGTGGTTCGTTATTGTCTGTACTAACTATCTCTTTCGTTTCGTTACTTTCATTCTTTTCTTCATTCATTTTACACTTCACGATGACATAACTTTGCTTATTATCTTCAACATCTTCTTTCATATCTTCGATTTGTTTCATGTTTTTTTCAGGATCATCAGTATCTTTTGCCGCCTTTACATCACTGATTTTATTTGCAATACAATTAGCAGATTCTTTATAATAATTGCATGTCACACATTCATCCATTTTCACTCTGATTCTATTTTCACAGCAAGACCCAAAACTATATTGTCTTTTCGAATTGCCTTTCTCAACAGACTTCAAATGCTGTTCATATATCTTATGTTTGTTCTTATTGGACTTCTGGTGAGAATCGAATCTGTGTTGCTCATCTGTTTTAATTCTTTTTCCATTTCAGCAACCATAACCAAGATTATTCATTCCAATGATATAATCTATTCTTGCAGATTTTTGATGATTAATAGGTGCCTTAAGTTCATACTTTTCAACTCTGATTTCATTTTGATTACAACAAGAAGGGCTGTATAAATCAGGCACTGATACTTGGTTGCTATTGGGTGCTATATGCAAATCTTTTTCAACTCAACTCCATTTCAGTCATCATTTTCAAGGTTACAGAAAGCTTGGATATTTTTCAATTCATGATCATCTTCATGGTTCTTAGTGGCAGTGGTTGATCGATTTTTTTTAGGTGGATGGCATATTTTTACAGTTCATCTTGCCAGGCTACTTATTACAAAAGATATACTAGAGCTTAAAGAATACATCATATGAGACATTTGTGAAGCAGAGGTTATTACTGAAGAATTAGCAGAGCAAGTCATTTGGTACATTGGTGAGAGGCTACTATATTGTTAGTTGAGATGAGTTCACACATGGCTAATCCTCGTGTTGTCATTGTTTCATATATTTAGGCTCGTTCAACAACTTCTTGTAGCGTATTGGGTATGAAAGATCCAATAGCTAATGATAATTCAGGACAGAGGCCTTTTACAAATATTCAAACTCACGTTATTTCTGGGTACTGAATTCCTACGGCCGATACTCGTTTAAACAAGTTCAATATATCGACAGCGTACTGTTCTACTATCTCTCTACTTGTTGTTGCCGGGTCAATAATTCTGTGGTCTACTAGTTTGAAAAGCTGGTGTGCAAAACATTTTCTGAAATTGGTATACAAAACTTTGATCTTGCTTCATCTTATTGTTCTAATATTGTATACAAAGTTTTTTGCTTTTCTACTACAGTGTAGCAAGACTAAGTAGATAAGAATCTACAACCTTTAACCATCTTACTTCTAAGATATTATTTGCTTCAAGAGCTCATGTAACTGATTCTAACCATTCTACGGGATCTTGTTTTCCTCTGCTAAATGTTGATATCTTCACCAAATCTATTTCACCAGGATCTGCTTGAGGATCCTTAGACTGTGCTAACGCATTTATTATGGTCTGAAGTAATTGTTGTAATTGATAGTTCGGGTTATTTAACAGGCTTTCATTTTGAAGAGGGTTGTTTTTCCTTATTGTGTTCATGTTCGTCTATGCTATTGTATTTTGCATTTGTCCATACTATTGTATTCACATTTATTGAACTTTTTTTTCACACACTGTTGTATTAACGTTTTCCACGCACTTACTGTAATGTTCGTTTACACACACTTATTGTAATGTCTATTTACTCACTTATTTTTACGTTTGTACACACAGTACTATAATGCTCACTTCACACAATACTTGTCAACATTCTCTTCGCACAATAATATAACATTCATTTTACATGATATTGTAATGTTCGCTTTACACAATGTTTACTCTACTTGGCTTCTGCTCAATCCACACAATCAGCACCAAAAATGTTACAACCTGGGGAGAGACTTTGTATTCACGTGGCTAGTTTAGCTTAGGGCTATAAGCATTAAAAGGAAGACAAGTATTTTATTTAATGAGTTATTTACAGGTAATATATACAAGACCGGTATTTATTTATTTATTCATTATTATCTATTTTCTCTCCTTTCGTCTAAAGCCACTTTTTATATTCTCATTCCATTCCTTAACTCTTGATATAAGAATAAAATAATCACAAATTATTTACAAAATATGAAGTAATAGCCATAAGATAAAATGTAATAATATATAGCTAACGGTTATGTAATATGAAAGAATAATAAATATGAACAAAATAATATATAATCAATGCTAGACAGTTTAATCAACAAATGTAGTCACAAAAATTTAACGATTTTACTATGGTAAAATGAAGTAATTCATTTATTGATCAAAATTTCCAAAAATTTCTATAACAACGTCTAAAGCGGAGGCACTCATTTTTTTTAATAATGTTATCGATTAATTTTAGAGTTAGGACCATCCTATATTAGAGTTAGGATAGGTTTTAGGTAATTAAATATAAGCAAAATTACCTTCCCGACATTTTTGATTAACCTATCTAAGTGGGTTTAGATAGCTATTTTTTGTATTTTTCAGGATTTTGGTTTTTATTTTTGTTTTGCTTTGCTAACAATCATCAAAATTCTATAATTTGATTGGTAGTAAATCATATAATTTGCCTCTACTTTAGATGTCCCTTTATTTGGATATGCAAAACATAAATTATTTCTATAAAGGGTGATCTACATGCATATTACTTTATGGCAAGGATGCAGAATAATATTGATTTAATTTTGCAAAAATATTGATCAATATGTTAAAAATATCAATTTACACTAATAAACCAATCAGAATATATTAAAAATATCGATTTATACTAATCAACCAATTATAACACAGAATAAATAACATGATCAAATAACAAAAATTTTATACCCCCTGGCTGAGACTTTCCAAGAACTCAAGTTGCCAATTTATATTGCTCGGCCCAAATTATATTTAATTTTGCCCAAAATTCTCAATGTTACACTGCATTAAAAATTTTAAAAATATCGATTTCCTAGGATTTGACCAAAAATATCAGTTTATATATGATTGATACAAATCGATATTTTTCCATATAGAGTCGCTTAAAGCTGTGTGCAGTCACATGATATAGAGCCAATAAAATTGTTTGTTTTGATTGATAAGGATCAGCTCAACAAAGAAAAAAAAGCAAAAAAAATAAAAAACAGCAAAAATACAAGAAATAAGTATCTAAACATACCTTGTGGTATTAATAAAAAATGGCAGGAAGGCAATTTTACTATAAAATCCACCCTTACCTTAACAGCATGGAGGACATTTGAATCCGATGATTTCTGGGATTGATGTTATACAAGTATTTATAGGATAGTAGTGTAAAACCAGAATTTTCAGGAATTTTTACTATTAAATTTTTACCTTTTAGCTGTGAACTACCCTTTAAGTACTTTAAAATAGTCTAATACTTTTTTTATTTTAGCTATCTTGTCAGTAATTTTTTATTAAAATTATTTTATTATAGTTTGACAAAATATTGAGTTTAATTAATATTTAAACCTAATATTCTACAGTTACTTTTAAGAGCATTTACAAGCAACCAGCTACACTAGGATAACAAATATACAAAAAAGCATCTAACTCAAAAAATCTTATCAGACTACTACTCTAAAATAGAATACTGCTAATTTGATAATATCTTCTTATAGAGAAGTGAAAAATAAAAAATACTAATACTAATACTAATATTAAAAAAAGATGAAAAGTAGAGTAATAAAGAAAAAAATCTAACAATCACAGTTATAAGCCTGTGTTGAGTCTTAAAAATTATATATTACAAGATAAAGAAGCTTTGTATCTAATCCTATCTTAATTATATATGTATCTAAAAATAATATATAATATATCAAAAAAATAAAACTAAAATAGACTAAACTAGACAGAATAGTTAGAAATATTGATAGTCTTAAAATATTGTTAAATAGTTTTTTAGTCAAGACATATAACCTATTTGTGTTGTTATTTAAATATATTAGTTGCTTATTGGCTACTTTTTTATTTTGATAAATAAACAATACTAATTGTTTTAAAAAAATATGCATTGATCTTTTGAAGAAAGTAAACTGCAGCTATATTAAAAGTCTAGTATCACCACTCTAAAAAATTTCGCTAACTATGTGATCACTATGTAATCTTATTAAAAAAAACTGTTTCATAATTAGTTTAGAGTTAGGGTCTTATCAGTAGATTAATGTTTAGTTTAGAGGGGTATAGTTATAGTAAAATTTCACAAGAAATTTTTTTGTTAGTATATAGAAGTCACTTTTATAAGCAAAATTTTGAAATACGAGTTTTTTATTATTTTGTTTTTTTGTACTTCTTTTGTTATACAAGATCTTAAAATCTGATTAACTAGCAAAATTAATTAGAGTGGTGATTTAACTGCTATTCAGCTATATATCTTGTTAAAACTATCTAGTTATATTTAAAGTTTATAATATAAAGACTTAAAACAATACTAAGTACTAAATTACTATAATTATGTTTATATATTCTATTTTATTTCTTCTATATATATTATAATATATAATTTTTTATATAATTTTTATATTTCTTCAAATTTTCTATATTTTTTTCCTTTTTATTATATTAGTAATTTATTTTTGAGTTTAGGTTTTTTTTCTAACTTTTCTAGTTTTTAAAACTTTAGAACTAAATTTTAACTCAAATTTGGTTTTTTTCTTGTAATGTAGCTTGATTTTGTCTTCTTTTCTAATCTTGTATTTGGGCTCAACTTTATTTTCTTTTTTGTATTAGAGCTTGAATATATTTTTTCTTTAGACCTA